TCCGAGGAAGGTGGAAGTTGTAGCTGCTGTAACTCAATTTTAGACGCCTTCAACTCCTGTATTTTGGGGTGTTTGTTGTTCATTTGTTTTTTGCTTGTTTTGAAAAGGTGAGTGCTTGAAAAGATTGTACTGGTACCTCTTAACTCGATCTTGACTGCGGTGCTTGTTTTAATGTGTGCTTAGTTTAAGCCTGGGCCCTTATCTGTGGCTAGGCAAGAGAAGTGGTACGAAAGTGTGCCAGCCACTTAAGAGTGACTTCATTATGCCCACAACCTGGGAGGTAGCCAGTGTGTTGTTCAGAGTGGAGTGTAATGTCAAAATAGACTTTGTCCAGTATTTTTACATGTAATTAAAAAGCAAAGATTGAAATAATACTGGTGAATTTTTTGATTGGTCCTCTTATGCTGAAGGACTTAAGCGTTAGAGAAATCTGGTATTTCTAAAGCAGATTTGAGACCTTTCTATTGAGTGGTGATATAGATGACCTGTAAAGAATAATTGTCTTTCCTCCCTACACAGAGGAAAACTTGGGTTGAAATACTTGTAAAGGCTTAAGAAGTTGCAAACCTTTTAAATTTCTTTTTAAGCCACTTTATATCCCTTTGTTTTTTTAAATTATCTTTGATGTTGATGATTTAGTCATATCTGGATGAAGGATGGAAAGTGTCTGTACAAAGTTTTATGGCTAAGAGCTAAAGTTAAGAAGTTCAGTTATCCTACATGAATATTTAAGATAAGCAGAGTTCAGAGTAAAAATTTTGTAGTTAGTCTTCGTTACCTACTTCATGGAATTCCTGCTCTTAAGCAGGGCTGAAGTTGCCCTCTTTTCTTGTTTAAAATTGCAATTGTTGTGTACTGAATGGTGGAGAATTCTGAGGGAGATACCTGTGCTTGCCATAATCTTTCTGAAACATCTGCTGCTGCCTATGTGCTGGAGAACAATTTACTGTATTAGGCTAATCTGAGCCAGTGAGATTTAAGTTTGGATCTAAACAATGGTCTGATTCTTGCAAGCATTGGTAGCTACCCTTAATCATAGCATTCCTGTGTAATACATAAGAAGCTTTAGCAGCCAACTTCAGTAGTAAAAACTGCCAAAAGCAGATAACTTTAAAGGTAACCAGCATAGTTTCATCCCTAAAAAACAAGCATTTCTGAACCACTGGTGAAAGTAATTAGGACCAGCTGGCCCTAGTTAACTTGTTTGATGTATTCTAAATGAACAATGAATTTAAGTTTTATGGCATGGTGCGTACTGCAAAGGCATGATACAGAAATATGAAACACTAACATTTTTTTTAGAAAACACATATAAACCATCTAGTTATTGTTTTAAGGACTTAAATAGTTTTCATTAATACAATGAAAACATACCTGGCAGAAAGCTGTTAGTATAATTTTTGAAACAGTTTATCTGAAAGTTGGAGGGAACTTCAACTTACTGGTGAAGAACAAATTAAACCTAAAGAGCATCAAGAACCCTGACAGTTAACCCAGTTGTTTTTTCCTAAATCTATTCAGACAGAATGAGTTAACTTTGGTGTTTTTACATGTTTATTAGGGTTTGTTCCATTCAGTTTGTCAGTCTGGAAAACCTCCTTTATGTGAAATCAGTCAGGAATTTTAACTGTCACCCAAGTATTTTAGTTGCAGTTAAATTGTGCAGAGCTCTGAATCTTCAGGGCTTATAGAATAACCTGTACTACTCAGAATAAATGTCCTTGCATGGCTTTTAATGCTCCCTACCCCCAATTATCTGGAGCTGCTTAAGTGGAGTAAGTAATGCATCCTGGAATCTGATTGTGCTAAGCATTAGTTTTCCCACAGGACAGGCGTGGGTATAACTCCTCTTTCAGAACAACCCTTCCCTCTGGCATTCCTGATTTGCTGTTGAACCTGTCTGCTTCCAACACGAACGTGCTAAATGGGTGCATCTGTGTCTCATTTCAGAGTTCCATGTTTTAGACTCGGGGCAGGGCTTCCTCCCTGGAACCAGAGGTCAGTTGAAACAGTTGAGACTTCCAGCTGTGTGTTTTGGAAGGCCTCTGGTGAACTCCTTAAGTGAGCACGTAAGACAAAGGCCTCCAGGTGTTGAGACATGGATCTGTTCAGGGCAAGTGACCACTGTCAGATGCTGAGGTCAGTGGCTCACCTCTGCCTCCCTGACATTTATTCTGACAGATGCAGTGGCATGCCACAGCAGAGCTTAAAACTCTTCCTGATTTAATGATGAGGTTCAACAGGTGTTAACATCAATGCTGCAGGCTGCTCTACTCCTGTTGGACTAAGAGGAGGAAAGTGACTTTGAAGCAGCAACCTTGTGTAAGTAGCTTGGCACAGCTTTTGGAAACTACTCTCTGTAATTTGGAAGTCTCAAAGACTTACAGCAAAGCAAGTTCTGCTGTTTAGCTTGCATATTGCAAGGCACAGGAGCCACTTTTGAGTCTGCCAGCATTGCTTCTGCAAGGTCCTAGGAAAACAATCTGATAAACAGGTGGGTCTGAATCATGTACATCTGCTTTTGGCACAGCAACCTGCAACTCCACGCAACTGTCTGTTCTCTAGCAAGTCTTCTATTTCACAATCAAACCTGAAGTGGGATACTAGACTTTAGTCAGGATAACGATGTGGGAAAAGCTTCCTATTGAGCCAAGAATGACAGGCCTCTGCACTGCCTCTCCCCCCTATCCATGCCTACATTAGCGTCTACTGTGCTTTGGGACAGGCTCATTCTTGTGGTTTTGATATGTTGTTAGCCTCAGGAGAAGGGAGAGGAGAATGGCATGACGAACAATTTCTTGATCTTGTTACAACAGAAACAAGATGACTGGAGGCAAAACCTTGAGGCATGTCTGCTAGGAGGGGCGGTAGCTAGCATATGCAGAACAAAATATTTGTGTCTATTGGGTGAAAAGGCTCCTTCCTTAAAGCAGTTCCCATTTTCTGTGTACAAAGGATCATTTAGTGATACATACTATAGCCTAAGCAGTATTTCCCACAAGAAGCAGTGTGGGTGCAACACGAGTGTGTGAGCAGGCAAATGGAATTCAGCTGCCTACCCATGCCTGCTTGTTGCTGCACATGGAGCCCAGACAAGGTAAGCAGACAGGATAAGGAGACTTGACTGACCTGGCTTTTTCTGCCTTTAACTTCAGATTTTCTTGTGCATTCAAACCCTACTGCACCCTACTTCCTCTATCACCTGTTATGAAGAATAATCATGAGACACCTTGTATTATAAACCTGGTTTGTGCTGGCACTCTTGATAAGACTGTAGTGCTATTACTACTCCTTGATAGCATTTTCTCCATTATCTTGCCTTGCAAGTCCTACTTTGCTTTCTTGCTCCATATATACACAGGAATCTTATCATAAAAGGAAAGGAAAATTCGAAGGTGGATATGCCAGAACTTGAGGGCTCCGCTTCTGCTTAAGGTCATAATCTGCAGCTATCCTCAAGTATGGTAGCAGGAATATTCTCTGTATATCCATGAAGGAAAAATCACTTATTCTTTTCACTGGTCCACTCAGCCACTCAAGTGAATTGAGTGTATCATTATTATTATGCTTTTGTAGTATTATGAGCTAAGACTGAGAGGACTGTGTTTGTGCAGCCTTGAGAAAATAAAGTTTAGGGAGAGAACTTAGCACCATGTTCCAGGGGTGGTTACAAAGAAGATGGAGGGAGATTCCCTTTTTACAAGAGTGACCTGGAAAAGATGAGGGGTAAGGGGTGCTTCCAATTGGAAATGAGAAAAAACTATTCTACTAGTTGATGGTTCTCATTGTGAAAAATCTCCCCAGGGAAGTGGTAGATTCCCCAGTGTCAGACACTTGTAAGATCTAGCTGGGCAGGGTGCTGGGCCATCATGTCTAGACTGCTTTTTGCCAAGAAAGGTTGAACCAGATGATCACTGAGGTTTCCTTCCAGCCTAGTATTGATTGAAAGTGATGATGCTTCATCTTGGATTTCTGGGAATCATAGCTGAAGTTTCAAGTCTGATTTACAATTAGAAGCAGACACATCATCATAATCTGTATTTTATCCAGGGACTTAATTTGTCAGTCTTATGAGTCAGAATTTGAGTCACTGAGGCGCCAGCTTCCCTAGGAGAGGAGGGAATGTCATCCCATGTTGAGCAGAAATCCCACTGGTAAGAATGAGCTGCCAAGAGCTTCAGTTTTTTTAAAATGTGAGTTACGTGATCTTTGGGTAAAAAGGTGCAGCAAGATTTCTTGTTAGCTGGCAGATCTGGAAGAATTTAAGATGTACTATATCAAGGTCAGTCTTAAAGTTAGATCTGGTTGTTCAGGGTATTTATTAAAATTAATTCAATTAGGAGATTAAATGAACTCACTCTTAAGTGTTTAAATAAATAGGGGGGATGCTTACAGATTAAATGTTGCTTACTAAAACTATTTCATTGGGGTTTTTCCCCTGAAGGCTTGTGGGTTTCATAATCTGTCACTTTTCAGTGTTTTGTCTTAACTCAGATACTTCCCAGTTTTGAAAATTTATCTATTTAAGAAAAATAATTAAGACCCAGCTTAAGTACCTCTTAACTCAAACGTTTCTTAGGTTGAATCATAGTGTCATAGCACTTCCAATTTCCAAACTTTACTCTCCCAGATAACTCTCCCAGCCTGCCATCTGTGAGCAGTTTATTTTGTGAGGTGGAAGGAAGCTGTTAGCAACTCGGAGAGCCTGTGCTGGCACAATGTGTCAGTGTACTCGGAAAATGCATGATTAATGGTGTAATAACATCCAGGGCAGCACTTTCCCAGCCTACTTTCACAGCTCTGTCCTCCCAGTGCTTCTTTCAGTGTCCTTGTTCTGGAAAACACAGCAATCTTCTCTGATGGTTGAAAACAGCTATTTGAGCAGTGTAAACACTTGGAAGGGTTAGCCTGTGCCTCAGGGATTTCTGATTCAGGGCACCAAATAGATCAGAATGGTGTTAGCTTTTTAACACTAAAAGCATTCATTTGGAAAATGTAAATGGTTATAAAAAGGAAGCATGTATTGTATCTTTTATTCTGGAAACAGTTAATTTAAGGGTGCTTTAGAGCAGTAGGTTATGATTACCTTTTTTATAGGTGCAGTATAAAAAGTTGAGGGATGGATTTAGTACAGCTTCTTTCCAGCCTGCATCTTGAAAACAGGCACAGAACTACAAAAATCTTCATCAGTGCAGAGTGAGTCTCTTTTGGGAATTGTCCAAATGTATCACCTGCACAGCGACCGATGCAGTTCTTCATACATTATTTGATCCTAACAGTGCCAAGAGAAGAGGAAAAGGACCTCAGACAGTGGTAAAAAAATACACAATATTTAAAAGTGACTTTGTGTATTATTTAAGCAAGTGAAACAAACCAGCTCTGTGAGTCACTAGCTGCATTTAAAAATATTTACAAACAAAAACTTAAATAAGGCAAACCCCCACAATCCTGGCTCATAAATGAGGTAGAGTCACTAATGGTATGCAATTCCTAGACGCCTCAGGCAAAGTTCTTGCAGTTCCTGTTGCCATGCTAGGTTTGATGGCAGCTTCACTGAGAAGGCACTGCCCTCTTCACCATAGGAGCTGCTGAATTGACACTTTCCTCCCCCATCTAGTTCTGCACAATGAACAGACAAGATCATCCTTTACAAGTTTAACTTAACTGTTCCTTAACCCTTTTTGCTAGTCACTCAAAATGAATTTTGAGGAACAGAGTACTTCCACTGAAATGCCTGGCTTCAGAAGGTAATGTCTTCACAGCTTAAAGAATTCTTTCTGTTTATCTTGAGTCAACCAATTAAACCAAACACAGAGATGTGTATGGGATAGAAGAGGTAGATGCACTAGATCAGTAAGATGCAGCTTTTTTAGCCTTTTTAAATTTTCCAGTATCATAGCATGGTCTGTAGTTTTTCTCAGACTGATTTTGCCTAGCAGATAGGAACTGGCAGCTGGAAAGGGGAGGTAAGTATCTTGTACTGCAACAGATATTTCAAAATACCTAACTGACATGTCTTCAGATTAATATAAGTGAAATACAGGACTCTCAGATACGTGGATATCTAAGCTGCCTTTGAGATGCAGAATAACATTTTTGGTTAACCAGAAGGAATATGTTCTAATACTTAACAATCATTGCTAGGTTAGAGGAGATGTTTTAAATTTTTGTGGCTGTTTGCTTAGTGATTAGCAAAGGGAAAACAACAGCCAACATCATCCTTAAAGGTTCTTGGAGCCAAAGATTACTTTTAATTTTATGAAAGGTCACTGACCACCAAAAACAATAAAAATGAAAGGAAATAGTTTACTAACTTCTGTCTAGTTCTACATGTGAATACATTAATGTATTCTGGCTGCAGTACAGTACACTCTTGGCCACACATGGAGACCTAGACATAGGTTCTGCAATAGTAGCAATTCCTATATATTAAATTCAAAATTATAGTAATTAAGATGACTGAACAGCTTTCCTTTCAGTCATTAAAAGGAAAAGGGCATAAAGAAACATTTACAACAAACTTCCTTAACAAATACAAATAATGAAAACAGTGATAAGGAATAGCTAAGATCATAAAGTGTGTTTTATGTCCCATCTCAAATTTACATCTCTTGCACATCAACAGAAAAGACTGAGCATCTCTGTGTGTCATCATCACAGAGGAGGAAAAATTGTGGCAGGATGTGGTGCACTCTAAAGGACTTGACTTCTACACTGAAAGCTCAGCAGACATAAGAGCTTAGGGCCAGGTTAATAATCAATCTGGAATGTCAATGAAGTCCAAGGCACCACACTAAAAAGTAACCTTGGTATCTTGGTAAGCCATCTACATAGAGTGCATCATCTGCAGCTGAAAAGGGAGGCTTTGATTTCTGGCCTTAACACAAACATCAGATTTGTTTAATGTAGAAACAGGTAGTATCAGTTTGAAATCCACCTAAGGATGCTGCAACCTTAACCATTCCCACCAGTCTCCAGCATCAGAAGAGTGTCCTTCCTAAGGGAGCAATGAACTTTGCAAACTGGAATATTGCCTTACCTGTTTGGACACTGAAGACTTCACTTTCCTGAAAGCTTCTTCAAAGTGTTTATGAGAAATCTTGATTTCTCCTTAAAGAACAAAACATAATAAATTACTAAAATTGCAGACAAGTGACAAGCAAGTGACTGTTGCATGTATTTCAAGGCAGCATTCATGAAACCTAACTAACTGAATTCCATAACCTTTCTGGAAGTGAATCCCTCAAATTCTGCTGCTTCCACTTCTGGGCTTTTTTCTTTTTTTAACATAAAGTCAGTATTAAACTTCCCTGTTATTTAAGAAGTACTTAGAAGACATTTTGCTGTCATTCCAATTCCACTCATTTTCTAAGTAATTGGCTTCATTTCATTGTGTTCTCTGGCATTACACAGAAGTGATGAAAGCTTTCACTGCTACAACTGCCTATGTTTAAGTTTATGCAAATTACCTTTTTGACCATAATGCAGCTATCCACAGTAATTATTCCTAATAATAACCTTTTGAACAGGTTTTCTTAGTATGTTAAAACATAAGCATACATCAAATAAGTAATGGATTCCTCTGCTCTCACAAGGAAGTACCTTGTCTAATCTGGATTTAAAAATCCTAAAATGTCACTACATAAAGATTAATTACCAGCTACCACTATGCACAGGTACCAGATATGTCAGAAATACAAACTGTAGTTTTCTTTGGTGCATTATTTTAATCTCTTTCATTAGGTTGATTATTGCTTCTATTTCCACCTCTGCCACATGAAATGGGATGTGCCAACATGAAAAAACTCTTTAACATTAATATATTTTGAGTCTGAGTTGAACAAAAATCTTCTCCTGATATAGTAAAAAACTAAAAAGCAAATGGAAGATACTAAATAAAAAATGAAATAGACATTCTCTAAGGTATTAAGCAGAACAGCAAATAGCCTATAGTTATTATTACCTGGGTTAAAGGTAAACATGAAGGTTAAATTTCACTAAAATAAACATAAAACCTCACTGCTCTGTCATCTCACTTCTCTGGAGCTCATGGTCAACATTCCTATTACTACATAAAGTTATACCTGGAAAATTTGAAGATGCAAGTTTAAAATATCAGGAATCCAACATATTTCCCCAAGGAAATGCTATTTACAGTAAGAAAAAGGTTCAAAGGTTCAAACTGGGACTTCCCCAGAAGACAGATAACTTAGACTGAGTCATTAAAACTCCATGAAACAATAAAATAAAGCTATGAGAATTTAATTTTGCTTTCACTTTTGTTTTTAAGCATGTAATTTTTAATCAAACTGCGACAATGCTACAGGGAGAGAGAAAATCTCCTGCTAGGTAGCAGACCTCTCACTGCAAGTAAGCTAAACTCCTCCATGTTTATTATGTGATAAAAGCTTGTCCAAAGCTTGATCATGTAGAAAATGTAGCTGTGAATAATCTAGACCTTGGCTACTTGCTTCAACACACTTTGTCTCAATTTCTAATGACAAAACCAGTTAGTCTGAATAAGTAAGTACAAATACTTTTATTGTTTAAAACCATTTCTATTGTTAAATTAAAATAATGAAGTCTATCAACAGGTACAATCTTTTAAAAATAAGACAATGTACTTAAAACTCTAAATATTAATTTGGAGTTTTCCTATTTACATGGTTCTTATCAAACAAGGCCCAGATCTTGCTTTACAAATTCAATTGCAAAGATGCAAAACTTTATTCCCACCTGTTAAACCACACTTGCTCTTAACTGCTTTAACAAAAAGCCTCATAGATTCTGTGCTTAGGATCAGCCTTACAGACTGCAGGTGATGTGGGACCACTGGCTCTCTCTTATAAAAATTCCTATTATTTCTCATACCCTGTGAATTCTGTGTAACTAGATTTGTTTGAAGTAAATACACAACATTAAGCTAAACAGGTGAGTCAGGATGGGAATGGAAAGAAGTCAATGGCAAGAAGTCTCCAGGAGCACATGGTGTTCCAAAGTTGCTGAGGAAAAGTTTCTGACAGAAACTGCAGAGCTGCTGCAGTAGGGTGGGTCCTACTCTGGCAGTGGAGCCGAAACCACTTTTATGCACCACCTTCAGTGGTTTGGAAAAGGGAGGCAGAAGTGAAACTCCAAGTTTGCAAATGACAGTGAACCTTTCTGGGCATTAAGTGCTGGCCCAATGATAAGGAAATCCAGGAGTACTACATAAAAGTGGAAATCTGCCCAGTTTTTAGGAATTTCCCCTACAAACTTCTGTATCTGGCAATTCTCAGATCATAGTGACTAACATGATCAGGTTGCCTAGGCCTGTTCAGATTAGCAGTAGAATTTCTGAATTCTCCTATGAAGTATCACAAAAAGGATATCTCTCCATTTCACTTTCTAAAAGTACCTTCAAGCACCACTGCCAAGCGTTAAAAAACCACACCCCGATTTTATTCCAGAGGGAAAATATCAGGTATAACAAGAAGTTGCAACAGTTTCACAAGAATAGAAAGGAGCAGCCCAGACTCAAAGGACACTCAGCACCCATCCACAGCCAAGCAGAGCATGGGAGGGGAGGCAGCTGTGCATGTCTTCAACAATGAAGGAAGAAAATCCCCAGTCTTACCTTGAAGATAAAAATGAAGAGGGTCTCAAATAAGAAACCAACTCACATGTTTTCATAGCAAACAGGGCTAACATCTTGTAAACCCATGGACAGACAAGCAAGCAGCTGCTATAAACATGCAAATCAAGCTGTACATATATTATGGACTTGCTGGCTGCCTACACATTCATGCAGTTGGTGCTTAGGCTGCAATCCTAACTGTGAAGGCTGAATTCAAGAGATGAACAGCTTTGGATAAAGTCTGCTGTATTCTGAACAATTATAAAAATGACCAGGATAAACTCAGATACTACTACCTCACATCAAGAGTTTTAGCCAGCTACAACAAGCAAAATGGGTAACCAAGTCATAAAACAGGGAATACAAACACTGTGCTCTGGTAACTTACTGTTGCTAAAAACCAGATAAGATTGGACAGGTACTAGATCAAAAAGATTCATTCAAAGCTATTAAAATACAGTGTTGCTCTTAAAAATCAGGGGCATAAGGAAAGCCTACAATATTTTCCAAGGACATAATCTGAAAAGTCACACTTCCATTTTAGCTTTGCATTTTGGCTTAAAGATAAAATAACAAACAAAATTACTGGGAAGAAATCTAAACAGACAGGCATTTTATAGAAAAGTTTCAATCTATAATTTAGAAATCCCTACAAAAATACAACTTAAACCAGCAGTTCAGACAGATAATAAAACGGCAGAGATTGTACTTGAATCAATTTATAACTCCCTGGTAAACTGCTGGCAAGAGGCACTGATGAGCTAAGCACCAAAGATCAAAAGTGGCACAGATTTTCCCAACTGCTGGATATACGTGTTCAGTTACACAACACAGCTGGGTGCCAAAGGTAGGAAATCAGGGAATGTGCAGTTTACAACCCTCCTCCAAATACCCTCCTCCAATTACATGAGCATAATTAGTCTTTGGTAGTAACAGGGAAAATTGGCAAAGGAGTACTTAGTCTAGAAAATAATCAGTTTATATAACCATTTAACAGAAACTTTTCTTTAAGGTTGCAACCTTCACTTCTTTAAAAATAAGAATTACGCTGACTTCTAGCATAACCATTTTTCCTGTACCTTCCCTTACCTTCCCTTATGCGACTTAATTTTTGTATGGCTCAGAAGTCAATCAACCAATGATGTACAGCTTTCACAGAATTATGCTTGTCTCCAACTGTTTAAAATACTTTCTATTCCATTTATCTTGGCATTTTCAGTTAAGATTTTATTTTTAAATATTTCTTACCCTTCTTGCTTTGAGTATTCTGCAGGGCCATTTCCTGTCTCAAGGCACAAATGGAAGCTTCACGCACGAGAGCTGAAAGGTCTGCCCCTCTAGGGATACAAACAACAGGTTATTTGGGGATAAATTTCAGTTATGCTGATGGCATATAGACAGATAAGACAGTAAAAATGGCATAAAAATTTAGTTGTGCTGTCACAAAGTTTCATCTTAAGAACACTAGGAAGAGGCCTGATGATTATGCAGTCTGCAGCCTTCATTATAGAGTAATGCCCTTCAGATTTTAGCCACAATTTAAGATCAAATTAATGAGAAACAAGGGAAGAGACAAAGGGTTGATTAATACTGTGCCACTTCTTGGGAACATAACTTCTTTTTTTATAAATTTTATGAAAGATACAAATTAAATCCCTCACCACTACAAAAAAGAGTTGCTCAAAGCTGCATCAATAGTAAAGTTAACATGCTCTTAAAATAATAGTATCCACAAAATATGGTCAGACCAGTTTAAGAATTTCTTTCCAGTTTTCCTGGAACTGGAACAGCTGGAACTTTTCACATGTCTTTTAGCTGGTGAAAGTCATTGAATCAAAAAAAAAATTCAAAATCAACTCCCCATGCTTCATTTGGGGGTACTAGGCATAAAGTACTTAAAAATCAAAACCCCAACCAGATAAAACAAAAACCCCAAATAAACCAAAACCAAAGACATCAAAACCCACAACACAAACACACACACACACACAAAGCCCCCAAACTCAAAATACAGGTAAACAAAAGCATCAAAAAACCCACAACCAAACAACAAAATCTCAAACAAAAAACCCACAAATACCCCACAACAACAAACCAAACCAAAACCCCTGCACACTGAACAAAAAAAAACCACTGGACTATAAAGCAGTGAGTGAAAGGTGTAGAAAGGTGTAGAAAGAATGAAAATACTCTTTCCCAAGTAATATTGAGGCAAGCAGCCTGTCATAAACTTTATCTTTCACGAACTCCATAAAAACATGGAGTATTACTAAATTATTAACTAGCTTAAAGCTTTTTAAGTTTTATGGACCATAACTGCAAATTATTCTGACAGATTATGGTCATCAAGCTTTCCCTGAAGCCACACCTTGCTATTCCCAAAGCACAAGCTGAAATGGGCCTTTATGACTTTGTCAAACAGATGGCTCTCAACTCTGTGACAGAACAAGTTGGTTATGGCTGTTTAGCCAATTTGCTTTCATCACCTTTGTGTATGGACTCAACATAAAGAGGGCTCTTTGTTCCTCAGATGATGCAAGAATTATAAAATAAAACCAAAGAAAACAAACATGCCTCCACTGTTCTGTATTTGCAATGTAAGGACTATTTCAAATGAAGAAGACTTTAGCATCCATATATCCTATCAACTTCTTGGAAAAAAGCACAAGGGGAAGCAAAAAAAAAATACCCTAAAGGAAAAGGTTTATCAAATTAAGAAACACTCTTAATAATACCAGCAAAACACAGCTGATCATGCATCAAAGACTGCTGGCACTGTGCATGAAGTATGAAAGGCAAAACCAGAAGATACTCACGTGTAGCAATCACAGTGCTGACTGTAAGCAATTTCCTCCAGGCTCACATCACTATCTAGGGGAGGCCGGGTGCCATCCTAAAGGAGTTGAGGTAAGGAAAAAGAGAAGGTAAGAAAACATTTTTTTTTAACATCTGCCATCCCTGAAGTGATGAAGTTTCTTTAATCAGGAATCATATAGGGGCCTGACAAGTTTCCTGCAATATCAACAAATATAAACATTTTTAATCTCAAACTGGCAAGAAGGATAATCAGCCTTAAAACCATTTAATTAGAAAATGTTAAGCAATGGTAAATTTTAACTTGCCACCCACAGATTAGATTTTCTCTAAGGAAATGATGGCCAGCCTGCCCCAGGGCATTGTAACACCAACACTATTCCATATGTGGGCTTATTTTCAATAATAGTTGGTTGCTTCAGCAGCTTGTTTAGCTGAACTTCCTCTAGTGTTACTGTGTGTTGAAATCAAACAGCTAAGTAATAGGCATGTCAGTTTAGTCTTACCACCTTTAAGACTAAATTAATTGTATATCTTTTATATTCTGGATATAAATTTTCAAACTTAGAAGTTTTCTATTTAGATTTCAGAGGAGTTTAGATAAACTGTAGATTTTTGGACACTACTTTTCCATATTATTACTGCTTTTGCCAGAAAGATTCTAGAAGTGGTTTCTTTTGTTATTGTTTTTGCATCTCCAACAGCAAAAATCTTAAATGACATAAATGGTATTTGAAACTAGCCAACAAAATTTCCAAACACTGTAAGCTTGGAGATCCTCCTGTTACCCTGAGACAACAGTAAACTATTATCATGATAGTACAGAGATTTAAGATGTCTTTTTGATCAAACAATATCTGAGTTTTGACACGAAAGAACGCTTTTATGATATAATGATACATTTCTGCCAGATACTCATTTGACAGAAATGCTCAAATTCAAATAAATATTTTCTGACTCCTTCAGAGGAACTCATATACTGCATATCTACAATACCTTCAAGAGAAAAAAATAAAATGTATAGTACCTTGCAAGTTAAAATATTTGAATACTTAACAGAGAGTGGAACTGTCAAGGACTAGGCAGAGTAAGGAAACAATCCTGAATGAATCTTTAACATTTAGAAAGGGAAAAAAATCCAGAACAGCACCACAACAAAAAGATAAAGGAGCAGCCTGATTTGAAAACATCCTGAGAGACACTAACCTGTAAACAAGGAAGCTTCATACAATTTCATATGGGATACTTTACTTATTCTTATAGAAAATTGCAAGCCAGAGAGGCACCTCCTCTCCTAAAAAGAAATGTTTTAACCTATTGCTTTGTGCAGCAAATACACTGGGCATTTTTACTCTCCCTGCTCTGGTGCCAAGCCCTGTTCAGCAGAGGAGCTTGATGCAGCTTCCAGGAATGTTTAAGTATAAAAGTAACTGAAACATGTAAAGACAGACTTCTCTTGCATAATGTGCATAATTGGGAATGACTGATTTGTACAACTTAACTGAAATAAGTCTTTCACAACAAAGCTTCAACCCACATTTAGACTGTCTGTCTTCCTGACAATCTGTTCCTCCCCCAGGTCCTTTTTCTACCCCTCATGGGTGCATTTCTAAGCATCCATGTTTTTATTCAGCAAGGATTCTGCTTCCACATGCTGTGCATGTACTCCTTGGAGATTCCTGGGAATGCATACCATCATTCAGAAGCCACTCACATCTGCACCAAACATTTTGTTTTCTCTGGCCTTGAGCAAATATGTTCGCAAATTTTCACACTTCCTCACCTAGAACGCATGGATGAATTCTGACAATAAAGTTTTTCAATTCATTTAACACATTTTCCTCTCTTCCTACTCCATGTTATTCTTTCACACAACTCCTACACATCTTTAAAGATTTAACTCTTCGTTCACCACAAGGATTAGTAATCAAAATAATCAGACTAATGTGAATTAAGCATGCATGAAAGCATCTTGCATACAAAAAGCATGATAAACAACATGATAACCAGTGACAGGATCCACAGAAACCAAGCTGATAAACACTGTGCAATGTGTTCTTGCTGTCAAGAAGCCCCATAAGCAGATAGAGTCACATCAAAGCTGATGTCAGCAGAAGACAAAAATATTCTGGCAGTGGGATAATAACAGGGTTACCACATCCCATTGCCACTCCTCTTGGTGTTATCCCAACAGGAAGATAGGATTGTAGGCTCAAAGATTCCCAGGAGAAGGGAGCATTTCAGTGACCTCACCCAGGATTTATGGCAGTAAATGCAATTCTGAACTTGATTCCTGATGGGAAACTGCAAACAGTTCTCCCTAACAACCAGCTGGTCATTGACAGACACAAATAAGCCAAAAGGTAAAGTGAGGAGTCACTACAGTTCCTTGTCCTCAGTGTTGCCCATGAGTGATCCTGCCCTTGCCAGGTGGGTTCATGTATCTTGGTGGCTACATATGGCTGCGAGAGTGTGAGCAAGGGAAACCAGTGAGAGTGAGAGAAATCAGCTCTGTTTGATCCACCTTTGCTCCAGTGAAGGAAGGAAAGCACCAAGCTCTGCTACACTGCTCCCCTACACCCCTAATTACCTTTAAAAATATATCTGGTAAAATAAAAATCATGATTCCTTACAGTATTCACAGATGTTACACTCAATTTCTCTCAAAATATCATGAAGAACATTAAGAACAGGGTTTAAAAAGTATTAACTGCAGTATTTCTGTAAAACTTAGAAACAACAAAATGGTCTACTGCAAATATCAAATGGGGGAACACTTAATCTATTCTCAACCATGAAGTAACGCACAGAACAAATGAAGGGAAGTCTAACATCCTGAATTTTTAAGAGAGGTCACCCTATGAACATCCATTTTGGCATGAAAGAACAGGCTGGAACAAGTCCTCACTTTCTGAATTCTGAATCAACTATTGCCTATACACCACAACTTTAAGGTTATGCAAGTTTTATTACAGATACACTAAACAATTTCTGCCAGACTTCTCATAATGTTATCTTTCCTCTATAGAAAAGACTTTGTCTCCTTTGCAGCTCAAAGAAAGATCTGATAGAATACCTGGTCATAACAATCAATGTTGATCTACTGGAAAAAAGAAGGAAATATCCATGTTATTCATAATGCTTTTTATGTTCTTTTATAAGGCCTTGACTCTTGCTGTGCCATAATTGGAGAAACACTCACAGAATTCTGTAATCCAAGTCCTTGAAGTGGCAGATTGTGCTGTCCACCACAAGGAGGACCCACAAAGGCACAGATTGTACATTTCCACATTTACTTTAACATACAACCTCAATCATCACAAGCTTCTTTTAACCATAAGGCAAATTAGGTGTCACAACTACTGTTGAGCAAAAACAGATGGAGCTTGTGAATCATTCTGCTGAATGTCTGGAACCCCCCAAAAAAAGCTTACAAAACACTTCTAGGCCCATTACTCACTCAGATAAGAATCTTTAATTAAATCTGTTCAAAGTGTGACTATAAGGTCAGCAACTTCTATGTTTAACAGGTTTGCTTTACTCAACATTCATCAGCCCCTTGAAGTCCCAGAGCAAATTTAACAGCAGATGGGCTGAGGGATTATTTTTATGACCTCATGGAAAAGCTGAAAGTGTTTAATGAGACAGGATTCTGCAATTCTTTGTAATGTTTAATTTGTCTAACATCATTCCACCAAGCTTCAAGATTAAGGATATATTTCCAAATACTCACTTTGGTGATGGTCTTTAAAATAGCAAGTCGATCTTCAGGTGGTGGCAAACCCACATAGAGTGTTTTATCCAGCCTACCAGGACGCAGGATAGCTGGGTCAATTATATCTTAGGGAGAGGAAAAATAGAAAATAATTAATCCAGAAATGAGATACACCCTTGGGAACATCTGCACATGAGAAGGAATACATGCATATTTGTACCAAGACTCAAAGAAGCATTTGTGCCACGACTGAAGCTCTGAGCATTAAAGGAGCTGATTAAAAAAGTTTCATTTTTGTCAACAAGTCTCTAATACTCAATACAATTAAGCCACATCTGATTAATGATGGCTCATAAATACCACGTTCATCTCTTCAGATAAGAAGACAACTCTCTATTTGGCAATACAGAATTAGAACATTTTTGCTGAGGAATTCCATGCTAATTTTTAGCAGTTTCTTCTACTGGAAGGAACTCTACCCAAAGGGACAATGGTAAGTCAAGCAAAAGAAGCACACAGGGCCAATCACAACCATCCATATGCAAACTGAGTTTTATTGGTCATTTGTATTTCTACTACATAATGGTTATATGAATGGCAAACAGGAAACCCAGGAAAATGCCAAAGATAGCTGCAAAGTACAGAATTTGTTTCCCAAGGAGAACGACAGACTCCAAATTTATTATGTGTGGAGAAGAAACCAAATATTATCACAAATGTTTCTAGAAACCATTCAAAGCTTAAGTGCAACAGAAATGTGCAGCTGCCTTTTAGCACCACAGGCTGTGATACCAAATGTACACAAAGTCCATCAGGATATAAATACTGACTATTGGTATAACAAGAGCTACAGACATGGCATATAACCTGGAAAAGGCCTCAATTCCTGTCCGTATTTCAGCACAAACTGCCTGCCTGATGTTTCTCAATGCTTCTTGATGCCCTATTTCCCCATCTGCCAAAACCCAATAATGGTATTAATCGCTGTGTTTCACTAAGGAATTCTATAGAGTCACCATCCCTGGAGGTACTAAAAAGACCTGTAGATGTGGCACTTGGGGACATGGTTTAGTAGTGGACTTGGCAGTGCTGGGTTAACAGGTGGACTCCATGATCTTTGAGGTCTTTTCCGACCTAAATGATTCCGTGACTCTCCAATATCCTACATGCCACAGTAACGTGAGCAGCAAAGTTACAGAAACACTCACAGATGAAGAAATCTGTACTTTTTTACTAGAACAGACTATTTTAAAGTATGTAAATTATATGAATGTGTGAGGTAGCTACTGCAAGAACCTCTCCTAAAAGTAACAGTTGATAGTTCCATCTAAGTCTAAAGCTGGAAATTATCAAGGTCTCCCAATGAAGCTGCCAACACCCTGCATTGGCTCTGCCCCCCTGACAAAACAGAGCTCACAGACAAACTACTGCATTCCTGTACATTAACGGTGAAGGACTGGAGAAAGTGAAGCTGCTAATCTTTACTGTACAGATGTTTTAAAAATAACAGGCACCACCCAAGGCCTAAAAGAGCAACAGGGAATTTAAACTATTGCTTTTTTGCAAATTAAAAAAGTTTGCTTAATTCTGTCAACATTCAAACTATCTGAGCCTACCACAGTATGGTCTTGATCTATTTTTTAAAAATGTTCATGGTATTGTTCAAGTTGCTCTCTCAGTTATCCTTAAAGGACAACTCTCTTATCTTTTTCTTGGACAAAAGCTTTTTTCCCCCCCTAGAATACAGCAGTCATGGGCAGAAACATCTATGGAAGAAAAATGCAGATGCTAATGTGATGAGAATGGTGAGGGGGAAAAAAAAAGGAACTACTTGTATTAATTTAATCCAGACCAGATGAAACAAGGGTTAAACAGAATCCTGCCATGGCAGGCACAGAAAAAAAAATGTTACTTATACATCTGTGCATTGTTACAGATAATATTTTGTCTTCCTTTTGACAAGTGCACTTTCCTGTTTTTGTGTTTCTTGTCACATTATTAGTAGATGACAAAGTTCACTCCAAAAATCTGTTACAAACACCAAAACAAATACTCTCAAGAGGGCCCAAATTACAACACCAGGCACTTGCTGATTTCCCCATTCTAACATTCCAAAAAAAATTTATTAAATAATATTTGAAAATACTAAGCTTGCTATGGAAAATACTATTTCCATTTTGCACACTGACAACATGGTACTTGCTATTTGTCCAACAATATGAAGACAGCAATGTGGTCTGAAGTTGTATTTATCTTTTTGTATGGAAATTACCACACTGCCTGCATTCAAAATATTACAACAACTGCCAGAACTAAATAAACTGCAGTAATGGTAGTTTACAGCAACAAGACCACACCAAAGTCTGAAGCCCAGACTCCTCATCTCTTTATGAATCAACTAATTTCATTCTTCTGGTTCAGACCTGGGCCTGGATTTCTTGAAAACTCAAGTCTCCTAACCCAGAAAATTAGTATTTACTCATTGGACAAACTCACTCATTAGATGCACTTCATATCCACAAGGTACCCCTTTAAGAGATTTCAAAGCATTCCACCCTGATAAATCAGAACACCCTCTCAATATCTATTATCTTAAAACTTATCTAAACAGAAGAGAGTCAACTCATTTTAGATACATTTACGATTTTAATGAAATTAAGGCAGTTATTGGAGATACCTCTTTCAAAGCCTATTATCCCTCAAGTTGGAAGGAAAGTGAAGCATGGAAATGTGATGAAACACAGCACCCCTTTTCCAAGCAGCTGTCTCACACACAGAATATATTTCTACTGGGAGAAATGTTAATAATTTCCTGCCTTTCTGAGGTGGTCAATGGTGTTGACTGTCATCAGAATACAGTAGTATAATTTTCCAAATAATCTGACAAAATTACATGAGAAGGTATTTACAGTATATATGCATTCCTTGCTCTGTTTTTGAGGGTTCAAACAGGCACTAACCTCTAGAGAATGAAGTCACAATTCAGTTTGCTACATTGCTCTTCAAACTACTGCAAATTCTTACAGAATTATTACATTCCATTGAAAATATCTGTGCATGAATTCCTATACAGTGACATTCTATTGTTCTATAGCAGAATCTCTTAATCCCACATTCATTTCTAGTTGATTATTTATGTCTTATCTCAACTGTACAGGAGCCAAGCACATTCAGTGCATACTAGCAATGACAGCTGTTGTGTGAGTCCATCAAACTTCTCCCATGCTCTCACTCCAGCTTTTAAAAATATATTTGGATACACAGGATCTAGGCCCTCCTATTTGTGATGTTCTGAAATGCAGGCTCAGAAGCCCTAAAAGTTCTGAGATTCCAGGTGAATGCTGCACTTAACTGAAGTTCCTGTGAAAGATTCACAACACTCAAAGGCTGCTGAAATGCAGAAATATAATTTGTGTGAATTAGAACTATTATGAAAGAAATTGTTCCATGCCTTATGTATTAAGTACTTTTCTTAGATCTTATCTTCCCTTTAATTCAGCAACATGTATAAACAGGTAAAAACATAAACAATGCCCAAACCCAAACTGTAACTATTGCTAAATACTGGTGATTATTTTTTTTATTGTGTTTCAAAACATGTGGTTCAGGTGAATAGCTCTAAAAAAATGAAAATAAACTTGCCAACAAAAATAGAACTCACTAAAACTAGGATTGTACTCAAAAGTAACAGCAGAAGAGAAATGTTGCAAGAATTAATTTAAAAAAGTAGAGAAAGAGGCCATGAATAAAAGCAAGACATTATCACAATTCATGACCAGTTTAAAATCACTGTATTGTCTGTTTCCTCACATGACACACAGTTCCCTAGATTCCAAGGGAAATGCTGCTGATGTCTTGGTCAGCATTTTTCTAAGTTTATAAATGTTCAAAGCCCAGGAAAATAAGAGGAGAGCAGAAGGCAGCAGTATCCCATCCTGAAATTCAAACTGGTAGGTAGAAAGTGGTGGGAAATTACATATTCAATTCAACAGTGGTGTTTGGCAGTTGTGTAGTATTTACTCTTGAATTTGGGTAAGAAAGTGTACTGGAAAAGAATTTAATTATTCTGACTCATAAAGGTGCTGACAAGACAAGACAAGACAAGACAAGACATTTCTGCCTCTGTTTTTTTCCCTCTCTCTCTCCAAGGATACTGAGTGCTTTAAAAATTTAATCCTCTTCAGACAAAGTGTGACATTGATTCTGCATTTAGGTGGAAAGAGATTGAGTTTGGAATACTGCATCCCTACTAATTTAGAAGGAGAAATTATCTACACAGGATATTCAAAGTCATTGAGTGCAAAAAACATTCAAATATCCTGCTTTTTAGGGCACATCAAAAGTTTTTTTCAGCACTGGCAGAATAAGAATTACCACTTGAAGATTGCAGATGATAAAAAAGGAACCAATCTATAGTGCCTACCCTTTTGTTAAAATGGGAGTTAAAGCCTTCCAAGTGTTTAAAGGCTATATGAAAGAGAATGTGGTGATTTTCAGCCATGGTGTATAAACCACCACCATTTCACAGGAATACTTTGTCCCAGGTGCCAACACCTCTCTGAAACAACTGTGCCAAGAATATACCTCAAGATGCCAAAAGTGGATGAACCACTGCTACCCTAACTGCAACTACTCCTAAATAACAATAACAATAATAGCAATAACAATATCATAACAATAGTAATAATAACTTATGTGAGAGACTCTTTCTATTGTACAATAATTTCAGGTTACAATGCTGACAGCAAACACAACAGTCATGAACAGTACCAGCAACCAACTCTCAAAGCTACCACATATGCAATCACTCTAAAAACCATTTTCACTCCCAATAAATTATACTAATATGGATTAAAAATAATGAGAACTCACAATTTACAGCACTGGCTCAGTGGAAGACTGCAGAAGTTCTGCTGGGACACATATATTATTTAGATTTACATTACACAACTCCCCTCCCCAGCAGCACCTCTACTCACCACAACTATGACAGAAAAATCTTCCTTACAAAGATTTAAAAACCTTTTCAGGCACCACAACTTTAATTGTTTGGGGGAAGTACTTCAATATAGTAGCCAGTCTAAGCTATGCCTGTCCAACAGGTTTCTGCTTGGACTTTGCATTCTTAAGGTGGTTAAGAGTGTGCTTTACTAGCACAGACTTCACTGCTCTCTACCTGCAGTGTGCTCCCTTCAGCTACCCAGACCACACCAGCCAAACTTCATTTGGTGAACACTGCCTCCTCCTAGGCCCCATGAACAGTGACTAAACTACAGGACAGAAAGATCAGCTTCCCCAACTTAACCACAACTTCAGCAGAAATTGTTCTGATGAAATTTTATTTCCTCATACTGACAAATGCAAGTATCAAATGCAAGGAAAAACTTATGGTCTAAGCCTTCCCAAAACATTATTCATATACACAGTCCTTCTGAAGCAAGACATCCATCCTATCCAAATGGCACCTTCCAGCTGAAAAAAATAATTTTTTAATGTTGGTAAAACAACTCCTTGTATCTTTATCAAGATAAAATCACCAAAGTGAAGCACATAAATTCACCTACAAATTCAATAAATAGAAATTAATTGTATTTGATATCCCTGCATTTGCATTTTCTTTACATTTGGCATTTTTACCTCAAATCCCCTTTTTTCACCAATGCCACTGACTAATAATACACTGCTGATTTCATGCCTTACATATTTCCCAGCTGCCCACAAATATAAGCCCAAACTTCATTATTCGGTAAAGTTTTGTAATTTTAACTATTCCTGTATGGTCAAACAGTAGATCTGCCACTGCAGCTGAAAAAGGCAATAGTGACTTTTTAAAGCTGAAGGGGAAAAAAAACCCAAACATCCCCAAGTAATTCCAGAGGTCCTTTCTAACCACAAAAGGGTAAAAATTCACCTCATATAAGGCTTATAGAGAGGGGAATTAAGAAAAGCCTTATAGAGAGGGGAATTAACAATTGAACGGGTGTCTGTTTCACATATGCATGGAAATCAGACCTGTAAGTAAGCACAGAATTAGTGCATCTCTAAATCAAGGAATTAGGACAAACCTGGCATACATAAATATTTATATTTTGAAATTAACATCTGAGCAATATTTACCCTAGGCTGACCCTGCTGGAGCGCTTGCACTCAGTTGCCTCCACCAGAGGAATCTTTAGCTCAGACCAGTGACACAGAGCAGCCCAAAAAAGGATCGGCCCCCTGCCCAACCGGCTGAGGAGGCACTGCAGGAAGTACAGCTGGATGTGTCCTCCCTTCAAAAGTGCTGGAATTGCCAGCCCAAGCTACCAGTCAGAGATAATGACAAGTCAGTAATTAGACATGAATTACTGAGAAACACTTCCAAATAGGGCTGCTTGATACAAATGCTTGCAATAGCACAACTAATTTAGGGAGAGATCTCCTTGCTAAGGCAACTTGATGACACTTCCACCAACACTCTTGGTACATCCAACTGCATCTATACACAGCATAAACTTATTTTCTATTCTGCATTGCATTAGTAAGCTCATGCCAGGAAAACCTGCCACTTTAAGTCAAAGAATCTGTACAAGCAAGTAGAGATTTAAGCCCCTACTGCTCATATTTCACCACATGGAAGGTTTGTCATGGTGCAAAGAATTTGAGACATAGGAAGACGTTCTTCCAACCCTTTGAAGCTTTTGACCATTGGGAAAAAAAACCCCACCTAACAGTTGCCTATCATAGATAGGCAATTTTTTCTTAATTTATAGAACACAAGCAATATAAAGTATTTTAACTTCCCCATCTTCCAAATTATATCCAAAATAGCCATGCTACTATTTTTCCTATTAAGCCATTTCTCAGCAAAACTACATCTTGTCCTTACTCAATACATGCAGGTAAGAAATAACTGTCTCACTGTAAGTAGGAATTTGCCAAATACCTGTTTTAGGTGCAAACGTTCTTTCCAGAATTCTGGTATCCACACCAGTAAGGCTTTACCAAGACAGACTTGTAACCCTGAATTTAATTTCACTTGCAATATTCAGAAAAATAATCACAACTGAAGAAGTGTAATACCTTCACACTTGTTTCTTCCTAAACTGACAACAAATTCCATTATCCACAACCCACAGCTTCTACATGGAATTCATATTCAGGAAAGACAAGTTTGTTCCTATGTATAAAACACAAGATGTGTCCATAATCCAAAACAAACCCAAAAACAGAGATAGAAAGTTGCCTGAAAAAAAACATGATGTTTGTAAAGCAGACATCAGTGTTTAGCTGCCTAATTGAGAAGGTGCTGTGGGAATTGCAAGAGCTGCCAAAAGCTGAAGAACCAGCAAGGGAGCAAAGACAGCTGTTAATATCCAAGCTGGATAGAACATGAAGAAACAGAAGAGTAACCATTACAAACAGAGTCTAGTGTGGAATATAGAGCCCAGGAAGCAAAATATAAGCAAATGGAAAAATTACTTAACATGAGACAGATGTCTTAAGGAAAAAAAAAAAAAAAAAAAAAAAAAGCAGAAAATTATAAGGCTGCTTTGGATAGAAAATCAATTTAAGCAGAAAAAAAAATACATTTTAGGTCTCTTTTCTGCTTCTGTATTGCACAGAGATAATCCACAGCAGTCAAAGTTCTTTCAAAGCATTTTAACAGCAATGGTACCAGGTGCTAAGTGAGACACATTTTAAAGAGACTGCTTTATCTCACAATACCACATGAACATGGAACAGATTAACTGATCAGAAAAGCTTTTGATTTGAGCAGACACTGTAATTTTAAGTAGAGAACAGGCTTAGTTAGAGAATTCAAATATTTAGGAACACATTACTTTGTTAAAGGAGAACCAAGGACGTCTGATTTCTTGTTTCTGACTTCTGGGTCCTTACCTGGCCTGTTTGTGGCAGCCATAATGAAAACCTGCTGCCGATTCTCCAGCCCATCCATCTCGGTGAGGAGCTGGTTCACTACCCGCACACTGGCTCCTGACTTTGGAAGGAGAAATTTGTCAACAAAATCAAAGGAACACTGGGAATGTGACTATTTCAAGGTAAAAGAAACAAAAGATCTACTAACTCCCTGCACTGAAATATTACTCAAAGAAAAAATTTATTTTTCACACTTCCAATGTAGCTCCATTGCCAAGTCCTTCTCTCATACTCTTAGTATATCTCCATCCCAAATTCATGCTATCTACACACTTCCCAAATATTTTTACACGTGTCAAACCTTTTCTTGCCCATCAAAACTAAAGGACTCACTTGAAGGAGTACATACAAATATTTTTACTAGCTGCTTTGATATCTACCTCAACAAGACAAAATTTCTCAATATTCAGTTTTTTGAAGGAAAAGAGTTCTTAAATATTGAAACCTCTGAAACAAAATTTTAAGCAGGTGAGCTACTGAGAGGTAAATAGCAATTCCATAGTAGTGACATCCTATAACCAAACTTAGTAACTTAACCTGAATTTCTCTGGATATTTTTTTATATATGCATACAAAAAAAAGTATTAAGCTTTATAAAACTTGACCAATATATTTCACTCAAATAAAAGTTTAGTGAATTGCTTTTCTTGGGAGATATCCTTCTGGGAAATTCTGTTGCCTGCAATGTCCCAAAAGCTGTAACTGAGAGGATTGATTTGTGGAGATATCCCAAGGCAGACTCACTTCACGGTCAGACCTCCGAGGGCACAAAGCATCAACTTCATCGAAGAATATAACACAGGGGGCAGAATTCCTGGCACGCTGGAACACCTGACGGACAGCACGCTCACTTTCACCCACATACTGAAACAATATGAGACACAGCATTGAAACTATGTAAGACACGAAGGTTTTGCAGTAGTTTTAAACACTATTTAAGGCACTTTGCAAGGAAGAAATGCAACCCAGTAATCTGCTTTTTTTCAGACAAGTCTCTTATCTCTGTTTCTTTACTGATCATGATTTACAGGGGAACTGTCACTAGCTGACTTTTGACAATTTGCAGTACATTCAGAGTTTAAAAGAATTCCTTTTTTCTGGACAAGAACTCTAACTTGCCATAATTTTGGTGATGAGAATTAACAAATACAGTCTTAGTTAAGGACCCTGTTGTTCAGCTGCTCCTAAACAAACCCAGTGAGCAATATGAACACAATGAACATCTGAAGTTCATGGAGTTGTTGCCTGAAGACAGGCTTGGTGGTAGGGAACTGAAAAGTCAGCCAGAATTTCACTCTGAATGTTGAATTGTAGGAACAGGGGCTGTGAAGCTGTAAATTAAAACACTTAGTTTTTTCCAAACAAATATGTTTTGATACAATTTATATGTTAACACAGTCTCTGAACCACAGCCAACCATTTTCTCTGTATTTCACATGGAAGTTGGGCTCCTCATTAACTTAAGTGTTCTATTTCCTATCTGTATCAATACTTGAAGTAGGCATATAAAAAAATGTTTGGGAAGAGATAAAATCCAGTATGTGGGTTTCAGCTTCCACATTACTGATAATGGCCCCACTACATGGGAGCTGCAGCCACCTTGCTCAGCTCAACACATTCTCTTGACTCTGAAAGGGACTGAAGTTACATCACAGCACCTCTAAGTCCAGTGCTTCGAAAATTTGAACTACAGCACTTTTATCTGTTGACATTTAAAATCTCCATGCTACAGAAAAGCAGTGATGTATGTAGCTGGTCATTTACAAATCCTACTTCGAGTCAAGAAGGGTTACATGCCACATAATTTAAACTAAGATAAATATTTAAGATACACAGGTGATTTTTTTCTTCCCACATGAACAACTTCACTGCTAAAAACTTTAAGGAGAGGTTAAATAAGGCAACTCCAGCTGCACCAGTACCAGTTGTGTAATTATCAGGAATTTTGCCTGCCCCACATTTTGGACAAGAATTCCATACATAACAAAAGCCCCATGATTAGCACGTACCATATTTAGCAGCTCAGGACCTTTCACAGATATGAAGTTCAGTCCAGACTCGTTTGCCACGGCCTGTAAAAAAGGCAAAGACAGATAGATGAAGATATATAAAACACACGTTTATCATGTCTGCTTGGGTTCTGTCCATGGAGTAATAAAAGTAATAAACAAATATAAGGGGAAGAACATACAGATAGCAACTGTTTGCAAAATATAGAAAACAGTACAAACTATAATTATATGTAATTAAGAGTGGGAGGGGAGTGGGGAATTTAGCAATGTATTCTCTCTCCCTGATGAGGGAGCTCCAGATTCACACCCAACCCCCCCACACCAGCTGCAGAATATCCAGTAACTATGGGACTTAAAGATATATTCAACACCCTAAGAGCACCTGAAGACAAAATGAGAAACAATCTGAAATTTGCATGATTATCTGCATTTACACGGAGATGTGGCAAGAACTGAAATGCTCAAGAAGCACAACAGAAAGAACTATTTTCACTAAGAGCTGCAGAGTACTCCCAAATACATAATTTAGTTATAGTAAAATATTCCAAACAGAGTTTCTTCTCATCTTTGCTATTTCTTCCTTAATCAAGCTCATTCCTTCAGGTTTTGCAGGAATTCCCTCTCCATTCAAGTAAAGTTATAACTTTCTGCAAGAAAAATCAAATCACTTCAGCACAAAGGCCTAAATTTAGATTTCTGATGAAATGTGGTGCAAAAGGCCAACTTCTTGCACTATGATCCAGACTCATCCTACAAAAACATCAATTTCAAGAGGATTCTCCAGTATTTTTAATGATGTTTAGAAAATGCATTACCTTAGCTAACAGTGTTTTGCCACACCCTGGAGGCCCTGCAAGCAGGACACCAGCTGGAGTAGTCAGGCCCAGAGCTTTAAACTGCTCCGGGTTTCGCACAGGTGCCTAAAAAAAATTATCATTGTTATTTCTGGAATAAAGAAAACAAGAAACTTTTCATTTTAGTTACAACTGGATGAAAAATCATTCATAGCAAGTTCTTTATCCAATTTTTTATAGACTAAAAGAATAAAAATTTGATCAGCAACTTAATATCTTGCACTGCTAATTACCCCTAAATGGGAGAAATATCCTTATTCAGAGGCAAAGATTTTATTTACCAGTTACCTAAAGGTGTTAATGTTCAAGATTGCTAAGCTTCCAGCTAAGTAGTCCCCAATTCTTCGTGTGGTAGTTGCATAACCAAGGTTATTGGTACACAACTTCTAGAATACTTAAAGATTGAGCAATACAAACACACTGAAAGCATGAATATGAAAAGCAAAATATTAAATACAAACACCAGACTTCAAACAAATTCTGAAGTAAATTATACAAGCATGACTGCTTTAAATAAAGATATTGCAAAATAGCCCTATACCTTAAATAAATATTGAAAACCAACAGGTTTTTTTCCTGCACAGGGGGGAGTGCAAAAGCCCTTTGGAAGTGAGGTTAGGACATACCAATATTGCCATAGTCAGCTCCTCCCGAACATCTTCCAGGGCTCCGATGTCTGCCCATGTCACATCAGGGATTGTGACAAAGCCTTCTCTCTTGGCAGAGGGCTGCACTGATGACAGTGCAACAATAAAATCATTCATCTCAATGCACAGCTTCTGCAGCTGCTCCTCAGGCAAGGGGGCTTGCTCCTTCAGCAAATCCAAAAGTCTCTGCAATTCATCCTTAACGTACATGGAAAGGGAGAGAAAAAGATTATGCAACTGGGTTAGATTTCCAGAACCATTTTAAGGGCTTTTTCAAAGCCATACTTCAACTATCAATCACATGATTATATACAATGCACATAAAATATGTAAATTCCTATAAATGATAAAAATGTTTCAGGGAAGCTCTGTATACATTTAACAGGTCTGAAGGCACTGAGCTGAGCCTAAAAGATGCTACAGAAAATGAGCTAGCACATGTATTTTGCCTTCCAATTCTTCCTACTGCTTCTCCCACATTGACTAGGAGAAAGGTATTTCCATGATGAGATTTCCAAAATATGTATTATTTATATGTATTAATTCTACTTTTAACAAGCAACTGCTTTCAGGAGAAAGTGAAAACTGCTGGACAGCACAATTCCAACAATTTGCAGAATATTCAGTTCCACATAAATACTGTTAAAACTCTGAACACACTTCTAGAACATTCACTTTGATTTAACACCTATCTAATTTCAAGACAACTCATTTCCTCAGCCTGGTTAGACCTGGGTTCTGCAATCAGGCCCTGCAAAAATTTGGGCAAACAGGACAGAGATGCAGGGTAATGCTTTTCTGCACTGCCCCATGTTGCAGACCACAGCGACCAAGGGAGGCACATTCCAATTTCTCCAATCAGTTCCATACTGGGAACTGAGAACACATTCCACCAAAGAACTTTAGATCTTCACAACATAAATGCATTCCCATTCTAATACAAAAGGCAGCAGCAAAGCAAACTGGTACTGCACTACAAGTAAAACTGTATCAGGATTTTCATTATAAAATAGAGGGGAAAAAAAAGTAAAAACTCTGTTAAGTTTCAATGTTTTTCCTACAGGCGTAGAAAGAAAAAGTATCAATTCCTATCAAATTCATACAGGATAGTTCTACAGCTGATCACAAGAAATACAAAGAAATACAAGTGCTTCGAATGCCTGATATTCCTTTTAGGTCCTCCCTCCTCCTCTTAACAGAGCCATTGAGAGAACCTCTGAAATAGCCAGGACCACTGGGTTTGTTTACTCTAATTGTGTGAATGATTTTTAAAGGTTTTGTATGTTTATTTTCCCATTATAAACATAATACAAGGGTTTTAATGACAATACCCTGTATTAGACTATGTCAACCTCCTGCCAGCTATCAAAACATGGCTTTGTTAGGATTAGACTTCCTCATTCTCAATGACCCCTTTGATCATGGTGATGTTGATAAAAGCTGCAACTACCTGCCCCTCCCCACTTTCTTCTGGCTACAGCAGGCCCCAGGAAGCACTGGGAGGTATAAGCACTATGCTTATGTTACACTAATACAAAGGCTTACTACAGCTTTTTATACTGATTCTTGTCATCACAGCAACACTGCTCTGTGACAGCCCTCCTGAAAACAGAACCCGAGCACAATGTGCATTTAGGCCTGCTTATCTCCAGACAAATCTTTAGGAGGCCTGCACATAATGAAGGCATATACAGACTCTGAATTTTGAGAAGTAGGACCAAGGATTTCTATATAAAGTTGTTCTGCTTCACTAACCTTCATGTTACTTAGACCAGAGTAATTCTGGCACTTGAAATACTAATTTCTGCAACAAAGAACCACTCGTGCTGCATTTTCACAGCTCCTCTCTTACTCAAACCTGCTACAGGTACTAGACACATGTGATTTACTTGAAGTCATCACATAGCTGGAAGGCAAACAAAGGCTGCATAAATACTTCTAGACTGGTTTACTGTAACTCTACCAGGTCAGGGAAGAGCCCTAGGCATCATCACAGACATATCACTGAGGGCACAGCAAACAGGTGGTGCAAAATACTCAGTTCAAGTCTGATACTTATAAAATTCTGTTACAGTCAATACACTTTTCTTGAAGAGAGGTACAGCCACTCTTTGAAACTCTGCTCTGTTAGAAGACAAAACAACACAACACAAAACAAAAAATCCCAGGGAAAAAACACACCTTGTATAAAAACATGAACATAATTTTTAGGAGGACTGGGGTTTGGGATCTACTTTTCCAGGCCCACTATATGGATCATTAGCAGTTATGCTCCTGCCTTACAAGCTGCCATTTCTACATCTAAATTTAATATTAGGTTGGCTATGGATGTTTGATAACTTATGAGTAATGACTTTCCTAACTGCAAAGTGGCACAACTCTTCAGATGTTAAAAACACACGCTTCAAGGAACACATACCTTAGGTGGAAGTTGTGGTTGGTTGGTGCCCTCTTCCTCCAGGATGTCTGCTCCTACCCCTGGGCTTCCTTCAGCTGTGCTCCCCCCAGGTGTGTGGTGCTCCCCAGATGTTATCAGGACCCTGTTGACTGTGCCCATGGCTGCCTCACGGCACAGGGCCATCAGATCAGCCCCCACATAGCCCGGAGTCAGCCGTGCCAAATGACGGAACTCAAACGACTCCGGGAGCTTCAGTTTGCGACACAAAGTCTGAAGAATTCTAATCAAGTACGGGAAGAAAAAAAAAAAAAAAGAAAATATAAACTGGAAAAAAAGCTGTTCGTTTTTTTTTCTTCACATGAAAACAAACAGCATTTAATGTCTCTTTCAGTCCACATGAACTGAAATAGCACAGTGGGAAATTTTTGCTCAAGTAGGAAGTAACCACCACTGAAACCCACAGAACTGTGCTATAAACTTCCTGTCACTTCTTAAACAAAACCCAACAGCCTCAACCAGGCATTGCTAATCAGTAGTTTTGACGACTTAAGAATTACAGGTCACCTTTCAACGCCAATATTAAAATCTGACAGGGTAAATCTCAGTGTACCACGGAGATACACAAAAGTTATCCTCTGATAAATTTAACCTTGTACTCCTAACAACCTAAGGCTGCAATGTCTGTTCCATGCCACTTTTTAGAAATTTATTTATTGAAGAATATTTACAACAAGCTGTTCGGCAAGAAGCAAATGAAATCAGACTGTGTGAGAAGCTCTGGTTTAATCTTCAGTATCTTTACCTGACCACAGAAAGAAGAATACAAGAATACAACAGCAAAATATAACTTCATTGGGAAAATATTTTTAAAAGGCAGCACAAACCAAAGAAGTCCAGATCAGTAACATATTCCTAATTCCTATAAAAACTAGTTCAAATTATTTCTAGCTCAAATAACGTAACTATAGAAAAGTTATGAAAAACCCAAGTGATTAAACTCTTCAAAACTCTAAAGTTGTATATATTTCATCTTTTTCCCTCCCCACTAGCAAGTTCTGTCATCTCTTTTCAATCTTTATTAGGGATAACAGCCTGTTTCTCAAGATTTTTTAACCTGTCTGACAAGAGCTGCAGTTAATCGATTGAGTTGAAGTGTAAACAGTTCAGGACTACACATGGCTCATTCTGAATTTGCACAAGAAAACACTTTACAGGTAAAGCAAGATCTCCAGGTACACTTTCTTATCTCACTCCACCCCTTAAGGCTGCAGAACCACAAATCAGCAGTTCAAATCTTGCCTTCAGCAAGACTCACCCTGTAAATCAGCACACTTTGAGGACTTATAAGATCTATGCAACCCTTTCATTTTAAAATAAAGGAACAAATCAACACCACCATGCTCTCCAAAAAAAACAAAACAGAAAGCAGGAGGAGGGAAGAATTTAAAAAGAAAATCATCAGTCCCTGGAAACCTACACCTCCAGGAACAAAAATACAAACAAACAACACCATGAATGCCTGTGACTCCACTCAAACCTGTGAATGATCTCTACACACCACGATGGCTCTGCCATCCACAACTCCTCTCCATGCTATTTTTGGGAATATCAACATTTTACCATGCTCCTAGGAACTATCAGAGAATCACAATCTCCTCAGGTACCCATTAGTTCTGCCTCTAACCACCTGCATGTCTTGCCCACAGCCAAGAGGAACGCAGTTAGTACAGGGCAGTAAATCTGGAGGAAAAAGAAAGGGAAGAGAAAAAAAAAAAAAAAAATAACCCAGTGGGAATAAAGGCCTGAGTGCTGACAACACAAAGTGGGTAATACTGCAGGCCACTGTGTTTGCCTCTTCAACCTGAAAATATTATTATTTGAAACCAAGAAACTTATCCTTTAACCTTTCTTTCCTTTCCATAACAAGATAAGCTGTAAATTTTTCAGACTTCCCTTCCTGTGTTTTTTGCTGTTGAGAAAATGTGTAGCAGTTCCTTTTTAATTAAAAATGCAAAAATGGATTTATTTCTTTCAACTTAGTCTGATAGTCATAGATCTTTGGAGTAAAAAAGGACAGTTACACAACACAGGATGACTGCATCTCAGCTTAATGCCTGGACTGGTGCATTTCCATGAGGAAAGGAATGGAAGAATCCAGGCCTGCTGCTTAAGGTACAAACAGGCTTTACGTAATTTACATTCCTAATTTAATAACTACATTGGAAGCACCAAAGACAGAATGTTAACTTCCTGAACATGAGGAAAGACACGTTATGTCTTAAATAATAAAAAAATTAATAAAAAAATTACATCATCTGTACTGTTAAGGCACTAGGAAAGTTATTAACATAACGTTAAAAGGAGATCTGCACATAAGAATGGAAATTACTCCACACGTAGGCAGAGCTACCAAGATAGGTGCTCACTTAATGTCTTCTGCAACTTTTCAGTGTGTGCTGACCCACAGGTGTGTACAGGTACAAACAGAACTAAGCACACCAAAGTACTTTTCCTTAATTTGTAAGTCAACTTGCACATTATTTTCTTATTTGTCAATGTATCAAAAAGAAAGTTTAACTGCACAACACATACTTCTCTCTTGCCCCTTCATCTGGGATCCCTAAACAAATTTCTCTGTCAAATCTCCCAGCTCTCCTCAGTGCAGGGTCCAGGGAGTCAGGTCTGTTTGTCGCTCCAATAACAAGGACCTGGGTAGTGGCAGCCACATTATTCAGGTCTAAGGGAAATAAGGAAGGAAGTCAGTACACATATTCACTGTCCAAACTTTGTTCCCATATCTGTGGGACGCTGTTTCTGCAGCACATTATAGTAGTCAGCAGAGATAAACTACTCAGTCCGACTGAACTGCTGTTCGTCTCTGTCTCTACTACCTAAAACTTGAATTTTGCACAATCAAGAAAAAATTTTAAAATTAACAGATTAATTAATTATTAATAAATTTAACAGATTCCCCATTATTTCTGTTTCTACAACAGACAGGCTTATATAATGCTGTACAGACCACTGTCAAAATATTGTAGTAACACCCCTTCAAATTTATTATGGTCTTCCCACCATTGCCCAGGCAAACTGAGTCAAAATAAGAAAAATTATTGCCACTATCTCCTCTAAAGTAAGTACAAGTCACTACTGAAAGGAAGCAGACAGTGAGCCTGATAATTATAATCTGTTTTTAGCACAGCTGTTCCTGAAACTCACCATCCATACAAGTGAGGAACTGAGCTACAATCCTCCGCTCCATGTCCTTGGATGCGACTTCTCTCTTTGGGGTGATCGCATCGATCTCGTCAATGAAAAGGACACAGGGAGCACTGGACTAAGGAACAGGGAAGATTCATAATTACAAAATCACACTGACAGAGTGTATTACAAGAAAGAGATGTTTCAGGTTTTCTGATCTCTAACTCTTACTGTAAATCTGCTGTACAATCAAGTCCTGGAATAATTCTGCTGTTCTTGCTGACAATCTGGAGAGCAAACAGACTATGAAACTTCACTGATCTGAAGCTATGGAATTATTAAGGCATGAGATATTAAATTTTAGACAGTCTCCAAACAGTGTATAAATTTAAATATACCTCTGTGTTGCCTTATGTTTTCCCTAAATATTTCATTGTGACTGCCTGCTGAAGTCCATAAATGACAAGCACACAAGAAAGGTCTGGTTAGGTTTATTGTTTGTTTTGTTAGTGACATTAGAGCTGTGGAATTTCAAAAGTAGCATTATTGCCACACAGAAAGAAACAAGAGCAGTAGGTGGTCATGGAACTTCAAGACTACTACAGAGCCCGACCACATTCAAAGAGTAAAAATGAGCAGTAAGAAACTCACAAAAGTGTTCTAAACTTCCATGAACTTCATTAAAATCCAATAATAATACGGATCAATAATTAGTGTAACTAATATAACGGTGCTTAGCTGATGTAAGATCATCAATATTCCCGAAAAGCACAAGTTGTGCAAAGCAATACTTAAGGAAAACAGCGGAGTCTTGCTCCAAAGAAGCCCCAGGTAAAAAGCCCGGCGGCTCCCCAGCAGCACTGGGTGCTCCCAGCTCCGGCTGCGCCATCTCGTGGTCATCCCCTTCCGCTGGGACCGAGGGGGAAAGGCCGGGCACATCCCACGGCACACAAATCATGAGTAATCTTTATTACCGGCTTTCCCCCTGCACAAAAACTGCTGCGGAAACTACCTAAGGGAATGTAGGAGACTATCAGAAAGGCAAGAGATTTTATGTATTTTATTACGTATTTTATGCAAAATATGTTATTTCTGTAACAGTAATTTACAGCAACCTCCCCTTGATCACTACACATACAAAACATGCATAATTTCTAAAAACTCCTTGTCATAACCTATGTAATTTTATTTTAAACAACTTCTTAATAAGGCTCTCTAAAAATTAAAATTTAGTATGAACAGGAAACATAACAAACAGCTTTGCAAACAACCTTTTTGCCCTGTTTAGGGGCATACTTTAAGTACCTACAAACAGTTTAGGGGGAGAATAGAAAAATGAAATAAAGTCAGAAAACCAGAACATTCTCAGGTCAGGAACAGAAGACCGGCCTCATGAAATAAAACATCAGCCTCATACTAAAAACCAGAAACATCCGCATTTCTTAAAATTATCTCAACCTGTCTTGTTCTCTTTGCTTCCTACTACATCCAGAAGTCACACCAAAGCAAGACTCCAACTTTAACTTTTCTCCT